GCTTGGAACACTGGTACGCTGCCACAAGATTGGCGACATGCAGACATAACCCTCATACCCAAGCCGGGCAAGCCACTCTCCCTCGAGAATCTTCGCCCCATATCTCTCACGTCATGCATAGGAAAACTCTTGGAGCACATAGTCCTTAAACGACTCCAACCACACCTGGAAGCCATCAACTTCTTCGCAGAGACCATGTTCGGCTTCAGGAAAAACCTATCCACCCAAGATATACTTCTCCAACTTAAAGAAGACATCCTCGACCACCCAGGACGGGCACAGACAAGGGCGGTTTTGGCTCTTGACCTCAAAGGAGCCTTTGACAACGTGTCACATGACGCCATCCTGGAAGGCCTCGCCCGATCCCAATGCGGAAAGAAGACCTACGAATACATACGAGCTTTCTTATCCGACCGAACCGCCACCTTGGGGATCGGCGATCATCGATCCGACCCAATCCTGCTCACGGGAAAGGGCACTCCCCAAGGTTCAGTCCTCTCGCCAACACTTTTTAACATTGCCATGGCAGGGCTTCCTCATCTCCTCGCCAAAACACCCAACATCCAACACGCACTGTATGCCGACGACATCACCATATGGACCAGCAAGGGCTCGGACGGCCAGATACAAGACAACCTTCAGGAAGCAGTAGACACCACCCAGAAATTCGCTATAGCAGCAGGACTCAGCTGCGCAGCTGAAAAGTCTGAACTCCTGCTCATCCGAGGAGCACGCAAAACTAATAAACGGAACAAGACCACAGACGAAATCACCATACACCTTGAAGGCACCCCCATACCAAAAACCGACCGTCTAAGGATACTTGGCTTGCACCTCCAAGCCAATGCAAAAGCCACCCATACCGTGCAGCTGCTAAAGAAGCAATGCATCCAAATAGCCCACCTCATACGCAGAGTCGCCAACAAAAGAGGCGGCCTCAAAGAAACCGATACCATTAGGGTTGTGCAAGCACTTCTCATCAGCCGAATAATATATCACGCCCCATACCACAAACTAAACCAAACGGAGCTAAATAGACTCAACATCATTCTCCGCACAGCGATTAAAACGGCCCTTGGACTCCCCCCGTACACCTCAACCCAACGATTACTCCAACTCGGCCTGCACAATACTATTGAGGAGCTGATCGAAGCCCACACAACCGGACAACGCACCCGTATGAGCTACACAAAGACAGGACAACATGTCCTTCGCAGACTCGGCTATCAGTGCTTCGAAATCCCAGAGCACACCATCAAAGTAGGGCCAGCTCCACCCGCAATCACTGCCAGGATACGGGTCATGCCACTCCCACGAAACATGCACCCAGAGCTCAATGCCGGAAGGAGAGCGGCAAGAGTGCGTGCTCTCCAACGACTACACGGAAACGACCCATGTACCTTTTACACCGACGCGGCAGAATATCCCGCACCACATAAGTATAAGAGCATAGCCGTCTGCGATTCCAACGGTCAGAACAGGACAACGGCCTCCCTTCGAGGCAAGCTCCCCACCACCACCTCGGAAGAGGTAGCTATTGCATTGGCCTTAGCACACTTATATCACACAATCAAGGATCATGAGGATCCATGCACTATCATCACCGACTCACAAGCGGCATGTAGAGCATATGCCAGAAACTCCCTCTCCCATTTAACATTACGAATTCTATCACCCCTTGACCCCTCCTTGCTACCACCGGTCCGCATTATATGGACACCTGGTCATGCTTCTCTTCCCGGTAATGAGAGCGCACACGCGCTCGCCCGAGAAATAACCCACCGGGCATTACACGAAGAGAGAGAGGAATTTAGCACCAGACACTACAGCACCAACCTTCCCCCAGCCCCCCTACTCACTTACAATAATGTCACAGAATACTACCGCTCCCAGCGCAAAACCCTACCTCCCCCACACAAGTCACTAACCCGGCAGGAGGAAATCGCATGGCGCCTACTACAGACCCACACCTACCCAAACCTATTCCATAAACAACGATTCTTTCCCACCAGGTACCCAGACATATGTCCGGGTTGCCAATCCCCACAACCCACCTTGTACCACTCCACATGGACCTGCCCAACCCCATTGGGAAACGGCATCAAACCTATCCCCCATCCTACATTCTCGTCTTGGGAGGCTGCGCTGACCAGCACAGCGCCTGACGATCAGCGACGGCTGATTGAACGGGCCAAGCGTATAGCAGAAGCCAACGGAGCCCTGGACTAAGGGCACCGCCCAAGAACGAAGCAACGACCTCACTTCTTAAATAAAGTTTTTCTCTCTCTCTCTCTCTCCGCTGGGGCGTGCCAGATGCCCGTCATAGGTTTGGCACGTAAAACCTCAAATTTGACTTTTGGTCTTTGTTCACAAGGCGAACGAGAGAATCTGAGTCACTTTCATAGAGGCTCAAAAGCTCCCTTGATGAATGCAAGTGGTGGTGTCAATCTTGCTTAGAAAGGTTCCATGGCACCCATCGTGCAGAGATCTTCGACATACCCAAAACGTCATGGATTATTGTGGAAGCACTGTCATACTAAATGTTCAATTTTGTTACAACTTCTCATACCTTATTTACGCGATTCTTCATGGGGCTTTCGGCTCGCGCTGAATCATCTAAATCGGTCTTAGTACGGGGCCGCCCTGATCTTGGGTCGTCTCGCACTGCCACACGGCCAGGTTTAAAATCGTTGAACGAACGAGTTACTGTGGCATTTGAAGGCCACACTGCCACATTCACAATTCTACTGTGAATTTCTTTCGAGGATATCCCTTGTTTAAACAAAAACTTCATAACGCTCCTGTACTCAAGCTTCAAATTTTGGGAGGACGCCAAATTTAAGTGTGATGCAGACCAAGGGAAGCACTGGAAGGATTAATATTGCGACCATGTTTGACTAGACAGATGAGCCAATTCCAAATGTTGTAGAGAGATCACTGTCAGACGTTTGGTTCTAACCGAATTGCAAAACTTTCTGATCACCCCTCGTCGATTTGCTCGCCAGTATTCGCGAAGGGACCAAAGAAACATTTGCAGCCTGTCCGTCAAAGTACGAGGTGGCGAAAGCAGGTTCTAAAACACGCGCTGATAATCAGCAACGTTTGAATGTCCGAGTTGAGGGGAAGAAGGAAGGCTGGTGGGGACGCGATAACCGTGCCGCAGGTGCCGCGTCCCTAAAGGGCACTCCTGCTAAGAGTGCTCACATGCTTAAAGACCTTGGAATCGCTTGAAATATGGCTCTAGCAAGGCACCGAACCAATCCTTTGATTTTGAGCCCCTTTCAGCATTCCCTTGCGCTTGGTGGTCAATCTTTGAACAGGTTTTTATTTATTTTTACAGGGTGTTTTATTTAAATATTTAGCTCTCATAGTTTTTTTCTTACAAATCAAATCTACATTAATGTGGTTTGTGCACGTGAGTTATACGGCCACAGGAGGACATAAAATAAGGGGATAATCGTCACGATAAGTCGATTAACTAAAATTTGTCAATTAACGGTTAATAGATGGAAATAAACAAACGGGTTAATTCAAAAACCATTAAGTAAATTTTCAACGATTTGAAGCGCGTGGGGTTCGCGGTGATTCGCCAACCTTCGTGCAGCAGGCGCAGGGCTAGTAGTGTGAAGATGCACTCTTGCGTTTTTTCCGTCTCTTATCATCCTCGTTTTCGCGCCGCGAGCACTGCGCACGAGTGGTAACTTGAGCGCCCCACCGAGCTCCCCACGCGCCCAAAATCTTTCTAAAGTTTCGTTATTCAGTGGTTTTCGAAGGCGCTCAGAATGTTCCCGAATGAAACCAATTGTGTTATTTCACTAATTAAAAAATTAATAGACCGATCTCACCAGCCAGTTTGACAACGCCACCGCTGCCGCAATGCATCGAGGGAATTTCAGACTCTCTGCACGTGCCCGAACCTCGCTGGAACTCTGCGCGTGAAAAGCACGAGACGGCACAAGCAGTCTCGGGCACTGCTGCCTGCCTCTTGTGAACTAAAGTTATTGCGGTTTCACGCTTGCGCCGAACGCTTGGTGAGATCGGTCTATTAACAAATTTGGTGTAATTATCCGACTTATCGTGACGATTATCCTCATATGTTATGTCCCCCTGACCGATATCTCACCTGTATGGATCGCATAAGTGTTTCTTCACAGCTTATTTAAAAAACAAATCTGTAAAGCATAGCAAAAAACACACACTTGTATGACATAAAAGCGCACGCGTGAGCAAAAGATAATTTGCCGTTTATTCAAGAATATTTTAAGGGCATCCAGTTAGAGCTATTAAACGCACGTGAATTTGAAACCCTTGTGCCTTAAATATCTGCAAGCTTGTCAATGTACCGCATTTGGGAATATGTCACGAAAACAAATTTTCGTGATTGCAGATAAACTGATCGGTAGGTCCTATGCGTTGTTAATGTACGCGTACAATTTTTTGCGAATCATTCTGAATCGCAAAAATTGCAAAATATATGTTAGCAGGGGCGTTAGGTCGCTATCTAAAAATGTCCAATGTCCGCGCATGCATATTACAAATAATGCAAATTCCATAACTCATGAGCCTATTCATGTTATATTGCAGGTAGAAATATTTCACGATGTCTGACGGACATCCCGCTCGCAACAGGTCCCCAAGATATCCAATTTCTGATTGACAGATGAATCGGCATGATTTGTGGAATTTGTAATATTTTCAATAAAGCTGTCTCAAGTTTCTTTTAAAAGTGTTTTTCTGTCTTTCATGAAGTAGCATCAATATGTCACTGACGCACAAAGTATTGAAAATAACACAGGTAATAAAATACAGAACATGACAAGACTTTACGTACCAATTTACCATATTTACCCCACACATGTGATGAGTGGGGCAAATACGGTACTAATTTACCTCAAACATGTGGCGAGTTTCTCAACGTTTCTAACCGTTCTTGGTGTGATATGGAAAAAATCTAACTGCAAATTTGTCTTCCCTCATAATATTACAAAAAACTCTCACAGGACCACAAAATTTCTGACTGCTGTCGCAAAGAATTGCCATTTGAGATTCTTCCGGAATGTGAGCATAAGGTGTGCAGGTAAGTATAACTGATAAGCATATCGTCATTTTCATAGACCTTATTTGCTGATTGCATAACTCGCTTTGTTTCAAGGGTCTGCATCACCAAGGCAGTTAAGGAGACTGTAACTATCCAAGTCACGTGCCCTGTACCGCAGGCTACCGTGAGACGATGCCGCAATTTTCTGTCGACAAAAGTAATCAAGGATGTAAGTGAATTCGCTAATTAGCTATACTGGGAGTTTTTTGTTTGCTTGTTTGGTTGGTTCGGAATAGACTCCTTCCGAAGTTCAGTCTGACCATGCACATTGTCATCATTTAGGGTTGTCATGTGTACCGTACTAATAACGGTCCTCTGGTGGCGAATGAAGGAGGAAATTTGAAGATGCAGCTAATCGGATTATGCGATGTACACTGAAGACGGTAGTCTGGTGCAGCGCAGCAATATAATACGAAAGCTGTTAAAGTGTATTTCTATTTTTTTATTTGCATCAAGTTCATCGTACAACCTGGGTCCAGTCAATCTGTGGCCGGCATGATATCGCGGCTCACTGGCTCCTTGATATATAGAGTTTCAAGAAGGCAGCATAGAATTCGCGCATTGTTCTGACCGGCTGTATCTTTTTCACCGGAGAAACTGAAAGAGGTCCAAAAAGGACTGTGCAGTGAAGAGTAGTACATACTCGTCTGCAGTTGACTTGCGAAAGTGACTGTGCCTGATAGCATACTAGTACGGCAGAATCTAGACTGACATTTGAACCACCAGATGCCGCTGAATTTCGTAAAGGGTAAATTAAAAATAAAGGGAGGGGGAGGGGGCTTACGTTAGGGTTCTTTTAGCCCTAGGGTCACGTTGGTGGCCATAGTGGCCACTACAAACGATGGGAATTGGGTTGAATTGTTGGCGAAAGAAATAATACATTATAATCAGCTCTTTCATTTTTTATCTTTCGTAGCACAACGTATCCCCACCCGGAAAGAGGGGGGGGGGGGGGAGGGGCCGAGGGGAAGGTGAGAGGAGGAGGAGGAGGGGGGGAGGGAGGGAGGGAGGGAGGGAGGAAGGGAGGGAGGGATGCGATGCGTTATGCCAAAATGTCTGAAAAGTCAATTTCGTCACAAGCTTCATTTACTCCTTCTCCATCTTCCTGAAAGTTGGGGGGGGGGGGGGGGGGGGGGGAGGAGGGCAGACATTTTTAAAGAAAACTATTGGGGGAATAGTGAAAGAAAGTAAATACCTCCACTCTCTCCCGAACAATTCGGCCGCCTCTGGAATGGGGAAATAACCGTCACGGAAAGCTGACTAAACAAAAAGGGGAGGGGGGTGCAACAATATTTAGTTTTAAAGGGTTTCACATTACACGAGCTTGCTGGCACTAGTGGGGCCCAGGTATGCTCGCACGCCACGCCACTGACCAAGGAACTTCTTTGTTGCGGTGCATTTTCGAGAAAAACGAGCGTTTTCTTGCAGTCTCCTCTTCATAAAGCTTGATAAGGTAGCTCGGAGCTTGCAGCCTTGACATTGACCCCCGAGTGAAGATATTTCAATGCGGCTCATAGATCGAACCCGAGCATTGCATGAACACTCGATCTGAGCTGTGGATAATCAATAGGTGATATTCACAGTTCAATTGACGTCACCCGCTAGATGCGCTGGCATCGAGCGCCGCGGCCGCCATCTCCGAGGTCTCTCTCATTCCGCGTAGCTTTGCGCGGTTGGATCATTTTTTGTTTTTGTTGCTAGCATGCTCAGCCACTACGGCAGTGTGTGTCACCGTGTTGCTCCGTCGGCTCCGTGTCGTACTTGCGGTGGTCGTTTCTCCGCGCAAACACACCGCGGCGCTTCCTGTGTGAGTAGGTGATCATCAATGCGGCTCAGTAATTATGCTGAGCAACTCTCTGGGTGCGAGAAAGATCGTTATTTGTAAAAAGCGGTGCCGCGGCATCGACCCCGTCGCCCTTCGAGACGATGAGATGATCTGTTTCCGCATGTAGTTTACCGGAAAATAAGTTAAAAACTAATTTCTCAAATCAATTTGATTTAAATTGCTGCAGCTAGAAAATGGGTGGCTCTTTACCTCTAGATCTGTTTTTCAACATGGCAGTTTGATCAGTTCGTTTGATTACTAATAACAATGCGGAAAAAAGGACTACTCTAATTCTAAAGTGCAGTTTAACTAACATTTGCTGTAATCCCCGCCATACTAGAGCAAAAACGGGTTGATTTTTTTTCTAGTTAGTTAAAAACTCCAGTTGATTTTTCTTTCGAGTTTTGACTTGACTGCAATAGGGCATTCATTTTCTAGTTTGCGTTTCTTCTGCGTACAGAATTTATTGCAAAAAGACGTTACCTAACTGACGAACGAAGTGGAAGGTAGGAATTAAGCAACACTCCGATTTGCTCAGAAGACTTCTTTTCGCTCGTCTTCAGCCTTAAATATATTTTTAGGGTCGAAGCTCCTTAGGCTTTTGCCGTGTCCGGCGTCCGTGCTCACATCGATTGCACTGCCTCCGGGATCGGCCCACTTTAAAAAAGTGGGCCGATCCCGGAGACAACGTTCCCGGGGCTTTTGAGGTAAATTCACTCCCACCGGGCCTTCGTAGTTTTGGGAGTCTTCGACATTCGGGACCAAGGCAATCAAGCTCGAAGAAATGGCTGACGTCTATCGTGGTTTCCGGCCACTGGACTGCTGTGTTTTGGTCGTTTGCGGACTGAAATACCATGAACTTCCTCTTCTGGTATCCTGTGTTTGTGAAAGAAGTTCAAGCATAAACTGCTGCATACATTCCACAGCCGCATTAGGAAAGAATACCAATTTGAAGACGTCTTCGTCATTTGAAGGGAGTGGGCTGTTTTTGTAGTTGTTCGGCTACGTCGAGGCCTACTACTAGAACATCTGAGGTGGATCTGAGGTGGATTGTGGATGCTGGTCATAGAGGAATATGAGAGACATCAGCAATGAGATAAATCCCGATTAGCTTTAATATTTCACGAGCAGGAAATAGCAATCGGATGTTCGACCCAAAGCTTGGCACATACGCTGTTATCCGTTTCATTATAGCGTCTAAAAACGGAAGGAATCGTAAGCGTGCATATTTACAATCATGTGGCTGCAGCAGAATCTACTTGCAGCGCCTATTTTTAAAAAATAAGTGCGCAAAGGCCGCCGACCGCCTGATTTTGCGATGAAAAGCCAACGTCGCATGCTTGCCCGGAGCTTGGCCGGCCTTGGGGACCGGGTGGGCTGAGACGACAGCGCCATCACGCTGGCGCGAACGGAGGGGGCTGCATTTCCGAAGCGCGGCTAATGCGGAGCTTGTCAACTGAGTTGATCCAGTAACATTGATCGCAAATGAAGCGATTGGCCGCCGTAATGTCTCTGCACGTGCGGACAAGCCCGTTCCATAACAAGCTTGCCAGGGCTATAATCACGCGCAAGCTTTACGTGCTTACACGCATGGGACACCGGTGGAGACACCATGCTTCAAAAAACGGCTCCTGGCCGGTTTAATATTTAGTGTTCGGGCGCATGACGCATGATTTGTTCGCTTTCCGAAGCGACGAACATGCGCGTGCTTGGCTGAGGTGTTGGCACTCTGGGCTGAGGACTTGTAAATATTGGAATGGTGTAAAGACGATTGCATACAAGGCGACTGACCGACGCCATGTCTCTGATCGGGCGGACAAGCCCGTGCAATTGCAAGCTTGCCAAAGCTATGTTCAAGCGCAAGCTGCACGCGTGCTTGCGCGTATGGGGCACCAGTCGGGGCGCCATCCTTGCAATGGTCTATGGCTCGACAAGTATACGGTTAGTGGCTCATGTCCAATCGCTGTAATAACGACAATAGCCAAACCCTAACAATGTCGGACTCAGCGCATGTCCTGTTCCTTGACAAAGCCAGCGCGTGGTTATGATAAACAGTAGGCTCGTTCGATTTACCTGCATGCACCTCCTGCACTGGTGCAGAAAAGTGTAAGGCGGTGTAATTCCGATCGTAGCCCAATACACCTACCGGAAGTGCACTACGCTTTACTGCACCAAAGCAGGAGGTGCAGGTAAATCGAACGAGCCTACTGGCGGTATATAATTGACTCCAGATGTCGTGGCCGTTTGTTCTAGCGGGGAGATGAGGGGTGAACGCTGCTCGTTTCTTAAATTTTTTTCTGCGACCGTAAATTGTGTGGGGAGAAAAAGTTAACGCGTGTTTCGTAGATTAAGAACGTCAGGGATTCATTCTAAGTGGTATTTTCGCAAAGTACAAACATAATCGCACCGCTCCTTCGGTTGTTGAATCACTTTTTATTTGTTTGTTTTATGAATCATATTGCAATTGCAGCATTGGCGCCAGTTGCGATGAAAGATTAAGCCAATTTAAATTATTTTACAAATACCAACGGACATTGAGATACTCCTTCATCAGTTTTCGTGGTTTTGTCCCGCAATTCCAAAACTTGACGCGTAACGCGTGCCGGAGCTTCCATTTACAGTGATGCATAGAGGTGTGACGTAGACGACTTACGCATCTCGTCATTCTCTCGGCAGTGCGACGTTGGCGCATCCGCCAAGCACACATGCTATGATGATAAGATGCGCGAAACGACTTCGTCATACTTCTATGCCTCGTTTTGACGGACGTTCTGGCACTCTCTCAACGTACAGTTTGGGAATCCGACAACAAAAGCATGGAAACTTGATCTATGGATATCCCCAAGAAACAATTTAAGAGACTGGTTCGGCTGATTTGGTCACTAATCGTGGCTGCCGTCAGTACTGCAATTGCAACATGACCCATAAAACCAATGGTTGGAAAGTTGTTGAACAAAATTGAGTTAATTAACGAACTTACCGTGATAACTATTTCATCATCTAGTGCCGCGTCAATAAATGCAGTGTGAAGACGACACTCGCCCTTTTTTGTATCTGTTCGAAATAAAGTTTAACACTCTGTGTAGTATAATCGAAATGGTCTTTAATGCTGGGACCAGCTTTTAGTTCTACCAAAGGTCCCAAAGAATGGAGATATACTGATGAGGGTGACCTGTAATTGACGCCAGAGGCGGTCAATGGAATTCCATAGATAAGAGGTCTACTGTCAAAGTAAGTACTTGAGAGGTTTAATGCGATATTTAGGGCAGCTACTTTTCTTTGTCAGGTAAAATTTGCACAGCCCTAAGGAATTTATAGTATAAATCCTTATGAGCTGTGCTATATCACGGATACCATGAGCTGAAACAGCCCTTCGTACTTCATCGGCGTACCTGCCAGTTTCCGAGGTGTGGTCTACACTAGGAATAAGATGCGAAGTTGAGGTCCCCTGCGTCGGACTGTTGGAGAAACTGAAAGATAATGGAGCATGTGGGGACCGAGGCGCAGACGCAGAAAAAGGCTGGATCCGGTGTTTCAGCTCATATTGTCCGTGGGGGTACACATAACTGACAAAGAAAGGGCCTCGCGTGAAACGTCGCAATTATAGTTTCTTTGACAGTTACACATCTTTTATATATTAACGTTTCCCGCCGTACTGTTTACACATCACCTCACTTTACGTATATGTATACAATAGGTTGTTTGCTGCCTCAAACTAAATAAAAGAACAGTCGTACAAGCTCATTCGATTCTATAATATGACGAGATTAGGCAAAATAGACCCAGATCAAATGTTCATCGACAGCCTGAACGAAATACAGATCTGGTCTGGTACCACACTCCCACTAATATACACTTCGGCAGATACAACTCTCGCCAGGTTAATGACTAGGAAATTTGCAGTGTGTCTATACTGATACAGTGATGTCTCGTTAATATGGACACCTCCGTTGCCCTAAACAATCGTCCATAATGCGAGTTGTCCATAATAACGAGACAAAAATGCATGTATTTCTCCAGTTTGTCCCCTAAAATGGTGTCCATATAGCGGAATATCCATATTAACGGGGTACATGGTAACGGGACATGACTGTAGTATACTTTTATTTTGTACACAAGAACCACACTCATATCCTAGTGTAAACGACTTAATTTTCGCGAGGATTTAATTTTAACGAATTTCGTGGCTTGTATATTATCGCGAAAAACACATCCCGCGAGTGTATTTTCCTATCGTAACAAATACATCGCATAACACCCCGATTGGTGAAATTTCGTGTCCGCGAAATATCCTTGAAAGCCACACTTCGCCAAATTCACGAAATATCGAGCCCGCGAAAATAAAGTAGGCCTTATGTCAAGATTTGTGTAGGCTACTTATGACTGCTGAGTTGTGCTCAGACCATTGGACCACCAGCCACGTGCTTGCTCGCATTGTTTGTATACTGTGGCGGATGTATGCATAAAACTCTGAGGCCTTTGATTAGTAGTTTATTGCTAAGCGCTTGCATGTCTAAACAGAATCGGGTCAGTTGATCAAGATCGTGTTGTTTACTTATCTGCATCTCAACATGCACATATCTCAAATGTGCGACACATCCCTTTTGTCTATAGAATGTTCCCGATCAAGTATTCAAGCACTGGAAGGAAATGAAAAAATGGAATCGTATCTCATGCCAAGTATGCCAAACGGAACTGCTCCGTAACCCAAAAAAGAAGACTGTGGATTGTCCGAGATGCGGAAGGACCAACTGCTTGTCGTGCTGTGCCGTACATGTTGGAATGGACTGTCGGGATTACATACAAAAGCTGGTAAACGATCTGGACAGAGCGGCGCATGAGGTTTGTAGTGAAACTTTACGAAAGTCGTAGTCAGAAACTGCGTGATCAGCGGAAATGTGATTAAGTGCTTTACTGCACATATGACAATCGAGTTTACTCAATTACCATCGTGTATAACGGGGGTTCTCCAACCGTTGGATCTCGAGGAGACCCTAATTGCCTCGATTGGCAACTGGGGTACCTGTCAAAGTCTCGTCTTGACGCAACAAAGCGGCGCAGAAGCGCTCAGACCTTGTAAACAGTAATGCACATACAAGGGAGTGTTTGGAACCTAATTAGGCATCAGTGAATGACTTTGATTTTAAATAATGGTGCTTAAACTGAGAACACTAAGATTAGTCGAGGAAATTTCGGAGCTCGGGGAACCCCTAGTCTAAATCCGAAAAAAAACCAGTTTGAGATCCCAAGGTGTATAAGTAAAGATCATCCAAGGTTCGAGTGCCAGTAATATGTAGTACAGAAAATATAAGCATGAGTTCGTATAGCATTTTTTCTCTTGCGCCGCTTATAAGACATAAGTTTCCAAATGTGAAGGTTTCTCGAACTACAATTTTTAGCCCTTTTTCAACGTAGATATAAAAAAAATGTAATGTCGTGCAATGGTATAACATGCATCGCATTAAAATTTATTTCTGAAGGATCCAGAGGAAAAAAGGAAGAGATTTCAAGAGCAATTGGATCTGTACAGCCAAGATGCCATACAAGCCACTGAAGAGTTTGACTGTGCCATATGTTTTATTTCGGTGGAGCCGGAAATGGGACTCATTTTGAAGAACTGCCACCACCAAATCTGCAAGTATGTATCTGACCGTCCTGGTACTTACGCAAAACTACGCAAATTTAAGTTGCTTATTTTAGCAATGATGTTTAATTTAATTATGCCTCTTGTCTATCTTATTTTGCAGAGACTGTCTGGTAAACATTGCCAAGAATTCCTCTTCAGCTGTGGTCAGATGCCCACATGATCCTTGTGAAATGGAAATTTCCGACACTGAGCTCCGAGCAGTAAGCTTTTCAGAAGTCCCTTGTTTCGACCATAGTCACAAATCACAACGTCGGTCATCTTTTACGCGATCTTTTTAAATAAGAGTGTTAGTGTATTACTAATTCTTGTGTATTCTGCAACAAGAAGTTTCGTGTCTTTCTTACTGTGTTTAAAACGTCAGTTGCTAGTCAGCGCCTGTCCTGTCCACTTCTACTAGTCCTCCTCCTTAGCGCTGTTTGAATCTTTATTGTTTAACCAACTAGCCCAACAGTTCATTTCGTTTCGTGTTTACTCTTTCAGTTACATAAAGCAAATCAGCTTATTTTCTAATTAGTTATAAAAACGGCACTAACTGAATTTTTTTCTTTTCTTTTACAGTGCCTTTCTCCGGAACTCTATGACGAACTGCAGGAGAGAGGGCTCAGAGAAGCCGAACGAACAAGTACAAGGTCTTTCCACTGCAAGACAGTTGACTGCAGGGGGTGGTGTATTTATGATGAAGATTCAAATGCATTTGAGTGCCCCGTGTGCAAGAAGATAAACTGCCTACGATGTGAAGCCATTCACGAGAAAATGAACTGTGCAGAGTACCAGGAGGATCTCAAGCGCAGGGCACAAAATGATGATGCAGCTAAGGCTTCTATAAATATGCTTGAGGTATGGCCGCATGGCAGATTTTGTTTTTTAATTATGAGCTTCACGATCAAAAGTCGCCGAGTAAAACGGAGGGACACTTCGTCTTAAAATGTGACTCGCAGCATGATTCCTGGATGTTATCACAGCACAGGTGGTTAAAAATGGTTTCTCTTGGGAGTTTTTGCAGTGTACTGTATAGTTAACCTGAATAATGAATCGCCAGCTTTTCACATAATTTTAACCTGGGCAAAAGGCTATAGTCGGCGACAGGTTAAGAGTGAAGTGGAAGCGCTTCCCATCTTTTTCCACTTTAGCAGAGCGAACGCTGGAAAGGAGGTTGCCTCCTTTCCAGCATTTGCTTTCTTAAAGTGAAATGGGGTAGGAGGAGCTTCCACTTTACTCATAACCTATCATCGACTATAGTGTTCAAGTATTTAGTGGTGAAAAGAGTACTTGTGCGGAAATGTCAGCAGTGAGATGTAATGTTAGGCAGTGGTCTGTACAACTAAGCTGACGGCAAGTTCCGATTTCATATTGCGGCAAATATGGACTAGGCGCATTTAGACAACTTCGTATCTTGGAGCACATGTACGGCTAAAGAAACTACATGTGAAAATTTGGTGATACTTGTCTTGTAAATTCAGGCGGAGCTGAAAAGGGGGGATGCCATGAGATGCTCCAAATGCAACGTAATTTTGATCAAGCGTGGAGGATGCGATGCCATAAGATGTGCTTCTTGCAACACCGAACTCTGCTGGGCGACCAAGGGACCTCGATGGGGTCCTAACGTGAGTATATATCTATGATAGTAGCTCAACTGCACGAGAACCTTAAGGCTGAATCTTGAGCCAACTTATCCTTATGGCGGTCATAAAAGATTACGATATAAGCCAATGTTGAGTCGCGATCCTAGTATGTTGTAGCTCGTTAAACATCTTTAGTATATGGTCGTCGTCTTTATACAAAATAAATATGCGTAAATCAGAAAGCAAACACGTAGAGAACATGTGAGAAGTGGTGTTTTTGGTCGTATATGATTAGTACGACCGGGCAGAATTTACATTTGGGGCGAAATTTGTTTTAGGGTTTGGTGGTGTTTTTATGTTAGCAATTTTTCTTGAGAGCAGTGTCTTGCACAGCAGGCTTCGTGAAATAATGTGTACGAGTCATTTCCAGAACAACTGTTCTGTCTTCACATCTGAAACTTTTACACGGTGGTTTTATGATGAATCAAACACGCGTGTCGGAGTGGGTATTTTGATTTGCACATACAGGGTGTTCCATCTTAGACATAACAGATTTGTAAAAAAAAAAGTGAAAGTTACACTAGCGCGGTTTGTGCAGCCGAGTTACACGGTCAGGGGGACATAGTATAGGAGCTAATCATGATGATCAGTTGGCTAATTAGCTGAAATATGCTAATTGACGTTTTAATCCTTGAAAATAAGTATTTGTTTCCAATTAAAAACTTGCTGAGTGTCCTTGAAAAACACTGAATCAGTCCATATTAAAAAGTTTTGAAGCACGCGGAAAGCACGGCGGAGTGCTAAAATTACCACTAGTGCAGCAGGAGCAAGACTATCGGTGCGATGACACGCCCGCGCGATTTTTCCGTCTTATCATCCGCGTTTTCTCACCCCAGCCTTGTGCCTGTTCCACGAGTGGTAACTTTAGCGCACTACTGCGCTTCCCGCGCGCTCAGTCTTTCTTAAAGAATTACTGATTTAGTGGTTCTCTGTGACTCTTAGAAACTTTCTAATTGGAACCGTATGTCTATCTTTACTAATTAAAACGTTAATCAAGAAAATGTCGGGTAATTATGTGGCGTATAGTCAAAATTATCCCGCTATATTATGTCTCCCTGATCGTAAATCTCGCCTGCACAAATCGTATACTAGAGTAGTTTTCCCGTCTTTTTTTTTTTTTAACATGCTTGTTAACGGGATCATCCAATAATTTTTGAACTGATTTAAAATTTGCGCTGAAACGGACCTCATTGAACGTAGGAACATGGAGAAAAAATGGTTTTCCGGAAATTCGAATTATTTTGTGAAATATAAGCAAGTTATAATTACAAAAAGAAACAGAACATTTTTGATCCGTGACACAGTTGGAAAACTTCAATGATTGGAGGGTTGGGGCGAAGCCGTTGGTGAATTTGCTGCTGGTTAGGCTCATGGCTGCCGCGCCGAGGACGGGGACGAGGCCGACGAGGGTCGCCTCGTCGGCCTCGTCGCTAAAGCCCCTTGCATCGCCGTAAGTTCAGGCTCCGATCGCGAACGGCGTTACCAATGGACCTGGGCTGTTTATTTATATTTCGCCGTCGGCAAACCCAACCCGCGCCGGCTTTCGTCGCCCACTTCGGGACGTCATAGAATCCAGCGCAGTGGGACCAAAGCAGCGATTCGGGGTAGAGAGTTGCACCGTAAGAGGTTCAAAAGGGAGCAAATACAGGGTAGCCGAACTTCCAATTTTTATGTTGTAGGAGAAGCGCTAAAGTAGACTCACTCACACTCACACTCACACTCACACTCACACCAGAAAAACGGTCACTCACGTCGCGCTGCGTGAGTGACCGTTTTTCTGGTGTGAGTGAGTCTACTTTAGCGCTTCTCCTACAACATGAATATCCAACTCGCCCAAGCATTCATTCCAATTTTTAATTGGCTCGCGGGAACGGGCTGCTGATTTGGCATTAGGCCAAAGCTTTTGGTTACGTGTTCACAACAACTTATGCGTCAGCATATATCATACTGACGCCTCTTCGAGAGCGAAACTGTTTCCGCTCCTTGTGCGCTTTTTCCGAGTTAGTTTCAATTTCCCGCTGACGGGATTTCCAAATTTCTCACGCAATCATTCCAAGTATAATTTTTTTTTCTGATGCCTCTCAACTGCTTTAGTTTTAGGGTTCATGTTGAAATTGCAGTATTGAGGGCAATTATTATTCGCAGGTGAGCTCGTGAGCTTGGCTATTCCTTATCAGTCCCTGGTGTCCTGGGACCTATTGGATCTTAATTTTTAGCACCGGATATTTGTGCAGGTACTTCGTTGCTTACAAAAGCTCGGCAGGCATCTTGGCTATCCGTCTTAACTATGGCTTCTTCCTCGTGTTTGGTGAACTCGATTATGGCCGTGGCTATGGCTAGCAGCTCAGCGTTAATGAGGGTGGAAACTCCCTGGCACTCCCGTGTCATAATTTTCTTTCGGCTTTATATTGCTAGCGTGCATTGCTCTGCGTTGAAACTGGCGTCCGCATAATGGCTTGCTACGTTTGAGTGCTCTGCCTCTTTCTCTAGGCGTTTTACTCTATCGATTCTTCTGTTTATATCTTAAATTCTGCATATTCTTAGGAATCGGATCAACTTTGATTCTGGGTAGTTGCCCCCAAGGTGGGGTTCCCGGTGGAATAGGGATAAGTTTCCGATATTGTAGTCTAGATGTTCAAGAATTTTTCTGCTTTGGGGTGAGGCTTCCAGCCTTTGCAGTTGCCCCATGTTGATTATGTCTATTTTATCACTGAGTGATTTAAAAAGTCCTGTGGCTTCCACTCTATAGTTAGCTGCGTATAGGGCTACGCCTAGCGCCAGTTTTGTTGCCTTTCAGAGTGCCGCTTCGAGTTTGGATTGCTGTGTTTTAATTAGGGAAATGTACGGCGATGGGTACATCACCCTGGAGTAGATTAGTGCTTCTATAACCTTAGGCTGTTCGTGTTGCTTAATGCCTCTTTTTCTGTTTCGTGATTCTGCGTATGAGGATTTGCTCTATCTGTCCAGTTAACCTATTTATGGTTACATTAAATATGCTGTCTTCCTGTAGGAAGAATCTCCAGATTCTTTTGGAATCTCTCCGGGGTAATGGTTTCCCTGCAATTGTCAAGTTTACCATACCCATATACTCGGATGCTCTGCTTGCTATGTCATGGGTAATCCCGAAGTATTCAGATTCTTTTTTTGCTGAGCAGGTGAGTCATATGGAGGATACATAATCATGAATGGTCTATGCCCTTTTGCACTATTCCTTCCTCCTCTCCTGGAGATTTTTTGTCGTCCATATTGTAATATCATCTGCGTAGACGTTATGTTCTTGTCCTTGCATGAGGTGCAGTTGTCTGGGTAGATTTTTTGTGACTATGTTAAGGAGGGTTGGGGAGAGAATGGAACCCTGTGGGGTTCCTTCCTTTGGTGATGGGCTGGCTTTCTGGGATAAAATCGCCCAGCTTCTTGGCCGTCCGGTTAGAGAGAAGGTCTTTAATGCAGTTGTACATTTTTCGGCTGGGGTTGATCTCCTTAAGTTTTTCTTAAAATGGTGGTGTGCAAAACTCTGTCAAACGATTTGCTCATATCAATTCCGGCGACCGTCTTCGGCTGTGCCAAGCCTGGGTTATCAGAGAGGTCTTGCGTGCGCACGTGTTTCCTGAATCCTGTCATGGTTTCGAGGTAGGCTTCCTGGCTGTCCACATGCCACTCAAGCCTGGTGAGAACCATTTTTCCATTATTTTTCCTATGGACGATGTTAGGAAAATGGGTCTACAGTCGATGCAGTTGGGTTGCTTCCCCGGCTTTGAGATTGAAAAGTGCTTTCTTCCACTAGGGCGGTAGACTGCCTTCATCCCAGAGCCTGTTAATTTACTCTAGTAGAAGATCAAGAAATTCATCCAGAAGATTTTTTAGCATCCCGTATGTTATACCATCCTCACCGGGGTGAGGCTGTCCGTGGCTCCCGTCCCGAAAGGGGCAATTGGTGCCCTGCGCGTTTTTGTCGGAGTAGTCCTCCGCCTCTTCATCTGGGGGTTGGGGCATTTCCGAGGGTGAAGCATTTCCTGAAGAATTTTGCGGCTATCTCTTTGGGTTCTTCCTGATAGTTGAGGCATAGTTCGGTGGTCGTTTGTCTCGCTTTAGGCTGTCCTAGTACCATTCTGAGAACCTGCCACACTCTGACAGTATGTCACGGGCCGTTTAACTGGTCGCATCTCGTTAGCCAATTCTCATTCGCTGGTGATTCACGTATTCGTAGGCTTCTTCCGTGTTTTTTTAGACAGCTTTATTAACGCCTCTGTTAGTGTTATTTCTTTTCCATTTTTGCTGAGTTTATTTCTTTTATCCAAAAGGTTAAGAAGGTGGGAATCGATGTATGACGTGTCCTCGTTCTGGATTTCCTTGGTGTGACATGTGTAGTTATTGCGGATTATATCTAGGCCTTGGTTCCAGTTCATTCCCGTGCTGTTTTTCAAGGATTCCTTGAGTTCTGACCTCATGCGATCCCATTTTGTGATTTTGATTTGCGTACCTTTAAATTCTTTCCGGCTTCTTTTACGGACTCTGATAGTTATGTTAAGGATGTTATGGTCACTACCCAGACTATCCTATAGGTTCTCCAATTTACAGTGGCGTTTTCCTCCGAACCTAGCTAGGTCTGGGGTGCTATCTCTTTCTACGCTGTTGTCTGTTCTTGAGGCAATTGTAGTGTTATTTACAAGAGTCCGGTGCCTATTAGTCATAATCGTTTCTTGCTTCCTGCCATTAGGCGACGTGCAGGAGTAACCCCAACTTGCGTGGGGGCTGTTAAAGTACCCAGCAATAATTAAGTTTTTTTGTTTTTTTTAATGAAGCGATTTAGTGCCTTGCATTTCTTGTTTTCCTTATTTAAAAACCAATATACGATCATTATTACTATCTCTGTATTAGTGGCTTTCATTTTGACAGCTACGTATTTCTGTTCTTGCAAAGTGAGGTGCGTATCAATTTGTATAGCTGCTAGGCTTTGATAGTCTTTTCTTTGCCTCTTTCTATGCTAGGTTGGCAGAACAATTATACTACATCCATGTATGTGGACTAACCCATTACACTCATATGTTAGAGTGATGTCTGGTTTGTTAGAGGCCTGTTGTATTTACTGATTCAGTAGACTGATTTCCCTACGTAGTACCCGACAGCTCCATTGCCAGATATACATCGTATTGTTCGGGGTGGTCTGCAGAGGGTGATCTAGATTATTCCTAGTGTATGGCTGGTAGGTTTCTTGCAGCGATGACTTCTGGGATAGTTACTTAAGTGGAACTCTTTATATAATCCATATTTGAGATTAGGGGTATCGAACCAGCGACCACATTTACCTTACCTCAGTTTCGTATTTGAGGTTAGGCGAATTGAGAACCGATTCAAGTTTTCTGTACAAATTTTCGGGTTGTCTCTGCCCTTCTTCTAGGCTGGCGAAATTTTTGGATAGAAGATGTCTTTTTTCTGGAATTCCTGTTGCATATTGTGCATGAGGTTATCCCTCTTGGAGCAACTGTTAAAATATTTTATTTATCTGCTGTAGTTCTCTCTGGAGCGAGTCTAGCTGTTAGGAACCTCGGCCATAACCTGGTGTTGGTCTGATCCATGCTAATGCCTTCCTTCATTGCGCTGTTAATGTTGGCCTGCGAAGAGGTCTCCGTAGCTGCTGCCAATGTTAGGTTATATTCTGTTACTTGGGGTGGTTGGGGTGGCGGGGTTTGCCGGGTGGAGGTGAGATCAGCAGCTGGGACAAGAATTGGTCCACCCATCCTCCGGCGCCTCCCTTTCCATGGGTTCGGTGGTGTATACGGCGGCGTCCCGTTGGAGCTTCTTTCCCTGGGTCTCTGCTTGCTCGTGTGGGCGGCTGCCGTCCTGCTCTCTGTGGTTCTTGCTTTTACTTCGTGCTCTCTCTTGGTTTTGTAGTGCCGAGTTTGTAGAGCCTTCCTCAATAGGTTGAGACAACCCAAAACGGGAACAAGCGGAACAAAATTGAACGCCCAAATATTACGACCAGATTTCAGTAAAACCAAGTAGACAAGGGCAGTTTTTACGTTGTTTGTGTGCGCCTCAAAGGCACAAAGGCTTCGTTGAGCTCCCCTCCTCTACAAAAGCTCCCCCCCCCCTCTCCTCACCCTGAATGGACCTATTACTTTTTACTTTTTTCAAGTGAACTCTTCCCGCATGAATAGCTGATTTCATTTCTGTGATCATCTTATCAGCTTGTTTCCCGTCCCGTCGTCGTTGTGCTGGAGGCGACTGTAGTGTCCGAGGAGTGTATTTTTCGTGCAAGCTGGCTTTTGTTTGGACGGTGTCGTACACAGTTCGTCGCAAGGTGAGGCTCGTTTTCGTCGATCGATTATGCTGTTCTCTTTTACATAAAGCACAAGTAAACGCCGCATGGATAACCTTTTGTCATGGGAAACGTACATTTGTACTAAGGAGACTGTTTTCTCGCAGCGGGAACGAAGGTAGAAACGTAGACCCGGGTTGAAATAGAGCAGTCATCTGAGGGCAGCTTAGCGATCAGGCTAAAGACGTAACCGACAGTGCGCTCTGTGACCGGCGAAGCGGAGGAACCGCGCACTCCGGTAACTACGCTCAAACTCAGAAAACGTCCGCAAAATGTCGTTCGAACAACATGTGTTCGCAGAGCAGAGAGCAGTGAGGATATCAAACGATTATCTGACTCTTGGTAGCCATCGCATCGAACTCGGACAACGTCCGGCTTCGAGCGCATTAATTCCAAATACCAAGACAAATAGCATATTTAGAAATCCATCTCGAGTTATGTACTATGAACGGAGTGTTGATTGTGCATGTATTACGGCATTTATTCATACCTGACGGCGTTGCATTTCTCTCAGCCTCGACGGGAACCTGCGGAGTTTCTTACCTGCTAAGCATTAGGGGTTGCGACAGTTCGGTACGCAACAGTGCTCTGGCATTTGCTCTTCTGCGGCAGCTGATAGCAGTGTTAAGAATAAAAGACAAACAACTCTTGAATCAAAACCTTCAAAGTGATGCATGAACAGCCACACCAGCAAGCAGGCTGGCGAAATTGCCATCCCAGTGTAGCAAATATTTTGTGCTAGATGGCGCGACGTGCCAAATCAAACATGATTGCACCGAAGGCCAGATAATAGGGTAGTTATACTCTCTGCTCGCCTATGTGACTACTTGGGTTACACTCTCGCCCCTGTACATTTGGGTAAGGGTAGTCACGTGCTTCGCCTCCACCACTATGATTGGGTCGAATGGGCCTGTTCGCTCTCTGCCAAGTTACGGTGAAACGAAGTATAGTTAGCTGTTTTCCATGCTTTGACTAAGCTGCGCTGCGAAGGATTACAAATAACGACAGTGAAACTAAAAAGATAACCTCACGTACACAAGTAAGCTCAAACAAACAACCGTTTACTTTCCACGCAACAGCGAGGGGGAAAATAAGATGACGGAAATTGTAAAACAGTTTTGTTTTTTACCTCTTTCCCCCTTTTTCCTTTCTTCTTTTATTGCGTTTTTTCTCCCGCTGTTGTATGGAAGGGAAAAAATAAACAGTTTGCGCTTACTTGTGCGTGTCGTGTCCTCTTTTTTAGGCCCAGTGTCATAACTTGTAATTCTTCACAGCGCAGTTAAAGTAAAACACAGTCAACTCAAACTCATTACCTTCTCAGTCGGCGCCTTAAGAAATGTCGTTCTCTGTAAGCGCACCTTTTAACTATGTATTAGTATACAACGCCTTCCTGGAAAACAATATTCTGTGACACCCAGTCACTTTCCAATTGTCATCCTATTAATCCGATAAATCGATCGCCAAGCGCCGCTACCTTTCTAGCAGACATCCTTGTCATGTCGTGAAAATAGTGTGCGAAATGGAATTTTTTTTAATTCGCGGAAAATGAGCGAGGCAAAGTGTTCATATATTTCATCACTTGGTGTTTTTCACGAAGACATGTGACGATCACTGCACCACGAATCAGAAGCCCACATCGGAAAATAAGCCTCCCAGATTGTGATGGTAATGCAATCAATGCAAAGGTGCCGGCGAGTTGGACAAAATAAACGATAATAATCCCTGGAGAAGAACAAGAAGGGGGACAGTGGACAAACACAAATCTCCACAAGAGACTTGTGTTTGTCAATTGTCCCTCTTCTCCGGGGATCATTATCGTTCCTTCCCCAGCTTGGTGTCCTCCGACAGAGGAGCTGGCTGGGCAAGCTGGGCTTGCTTAGTGGCTGAGAAAGCTGGGCACCGCACGCACGTGCAGCATGTACAGGGGAGTAGCAGAAAGGAGGAATTTAAGAGCGGAGGAACATCAGTGACAAGCCATACACCCGTTTTTCGGTCACGCGGATGAGTGTCACATCTAGGGGTGGAACTACTGGCTTGTTCAAGATGACCGCCGTGGGGCCTGGAGGCCCACACCTCTCCTGGCTTCCCCCTTTCCCTTCACCGCAAAGATAACAGAAAATCAGCCTTCACCCCGCAAATCCTCTGTCTCAAGTGCTAGCTTTCTGCCTTTGATAACAGTGTCACACATGAAGCCAACAGCCCAGCGGAAGGCAGCAAGTGCGTGTTGGGGGCGGAGCTTCTACGGCGTTATTAACCTGTCACATACTATCGACCCTTTTATGCACATGTGAATATTCTTCAATGTAGAGTATTAACATTGCACTTTCTATCGTTAGACAATTCAATTAAATTGTTTAATCTTGTTGCAGGGTACGGGCGACACCAGTGGCGGATGCAGATGCAGGGTCAATGGTGTTCTGTGTCATCCCAATTGTGGCAATTGCCATTAATGACGCCATTGCCTCGAAGACTTCCAAGCTTGCAAGATGACTACTGTCTACTGAATATGTGTTGACCAGCTCCTACACCCAAATCATCCTCGTAATCGAAAGTCATCATTTCTTCCCTGCGTGTATGCTTCTACTTGAGAAAGTGTTGTCGCGATAATAAAGATGCACCTTTACGTTGAACACGCTGCACGAATAGAGAAGTATGGCAAATTTAACAAGGTTTATTTTATTACCTCAAATTACCCAGAGATGTTCACTAATAAAATGTATTTAATGTCGCTTGAAATATATGACGCATGCGTGGATCTTCAACAATAGCCTGAATGTTTGAGAGTGGAAATTCAAATGCAATTCTCTTCAAGCAATAAAAAAAATACCTCTAAGAAATTAGCTATGATTTTGTTGTGGCCGGACAGAATACAAATCATTCTAAAAATGGCTCAGCTCAGGTTTTTCTTCAGAGCAACATCTCCCTGTGAGTATGATTTTACGTCTGCAGCCACGTTAGAAAGCTTGTCGGTAATTTTGTAAGCCAGTGTGTGGTCTCCACGACTCGTCAGGAGTTGTCTCAAGTTTTCATATGGCCGCCTTGGAGGCACGAGGACACAGTGGTAATCGGAGAGATTTTTTGGCACATTTCCCAAACAAAACCATTGGTCCTGTCTTGTGTCGAAGGCAAGAATGCTGTCAAAGCGACATTCTGGCTTCTCAGCTTGTTTTCCTCCCAACACAAAAACCAAACCATCTGAAAAAAAAAAAAGGACACTGTGTGAACTTTTTATAAAATGCCGAATTCAGTCGCAAACGGACTACAGCCGAAGAAAGGTGTTGTGGGAACTAAATTACTAAAACCAAATCAGCGGTCGTTTGTCTTCTTTCTTCCGCCCCGTCTATATCGCTGTACGTTTTAACTAAATTTATTAAATAGGCCAGTGCTGGCGCACACGCCGCCCACATCTTTATATATTTCTAAACCGTAAAAAACGTTGAAAATTGTAAAAATAAGACCCCTGAAAGGCTATTTCGTACCTTTTCAGTGCTTATCACTTAGGTGAAAAAAGCCTAGTCGTTGGGCTATGGACGCATGCACCGCAACTAAAGGCCTGACCACACTAGCGTGAACGGCAGCGCCGTCCGGCGTCACAACGCGAGGAGTCCACATTGGCCTCCGTTTTGCAAGCGTCACGTGACAGCACTGGATCTCGCGATCGCGCCTCCCGTCGGATTTCCCGCTCTTTCGTCGTCTGCTCTTCGTTAGATTCTTCCGTTTCGGCTGTCATCTTTCGCATATATCAGCATAGAAATCGCACTCGATGCCTACATGGTAGGAGCCAATGATGACCTGATGATCAGCTTCAATGTGATTATCCTAGCCCGCTCGTTGATCTTGCGACGTCGCCGGGCTCTGAAGGGAAGGAGGCGCAGGTTTTGGGTCCGGCCGAGTTGGTTCTACCGAAACACCGAAGGACAGGTTTATTTCTTTCTTTATTTATTTATCTATTTAAATAACCTCAAGGGGCCAATCGGCATTAAAGAGGGGAGTGGTAGTAACAAAATAACACACAAAAAGAAACAAAAGGGCAGAGTACATAACATATCATGGCGGCTCAGGACAGTAAAGAGTGTTTATAGCATTTTTAAACATTTGGGTATCAATAATATAAATTACGGAAGTCGGAAGGTGATTCCATTCCAAAGAAGTTTTAGTGCGTTGCTGCCCCGGCGGCGCGCCAGAGATGACGGCTACTTTCGAAAGTGTCACCAAATCAACACGACATCCGTCGCAACACAGATGACATGCAGCAAGTGCAACGGAGAAACTCACTTTTAATTCCGAATTCCTCTCCTATGATTTCCCAGCAGTTGTTCTTAGCGTCATTATCTAGGTAGTCTGGCTGCGTCTTGTCATATAAAAAGGGAAACAGTCGCGCAGTTTCAAGGAACCGCTCCGTTGGGGAAGGCATCGGGGGGAAATAGGGATAGCAGACGACACGAAACACGTCCTTCGGAACGTGAAAGACGCGCGGGGGACCGGCTTGAGCGTTGCCATGGCATCGCGACGTCACTATCTACGCCACCTCCCATTGTCTCCTCTCTTCTGCGGCGAGCGGCGGCGAGCTCCCGCGCAAGGAGCGGTTGGCTCTGCGGCGTTGTACGTCGCGCCGTTGAAGCCGAAAACTGGTTTTCCTCGGCAACCGGCAGCGCCGACCGGCGCGCCGCAGGCCTCCGCGACACCAATGTGGTCGTGCCTTAATAATCTGCAGAAGAGAGCTACGGCGCATGACGCCAAAGCCCAGTAGCCAAATAAGGCAATGTGCATAAGGTAATTATTGGAATGGTAAAACGCCAATGCGACAGGTACCATGGGTAGTGGTGACAACACTGTGTCTAGCCATAGGCATTGGAGTTTTGTCGACCCATGCATTGCGGTCGTCAACAAGTACAAGCATGTCTTCCACAGTTGTGAAGCTCCTCTGTTTGCCCGCCCTATGGCTCAGAAGACCTCCAACAGCGTAGAGAATTCCGTCACACTCCACCAATGTCAAGCAACTCCTTGGGGATGGCAGAAAGTTGACTGCAAAAGACCACCTGCAAAGTTACATTAAGACCGAGTTAGTGGCCCCTCTGGGCATGAACCCAGGCTTTCTCGTTGGACTTCTGTGCCGCTGGCGAACACGGGATTCGCCTGACCTTATTCAGGGCTTTGACTCCCCTGCGTGTGCGTATCGACTGCCACGACCGAATATAGAAAACGACGGGGAGAGTGAAAGTTATAGATGACTTGTATCCAAAAAAAAAAAAATACTAGCAACACACTGATACAGTGAAGGAGCAGGAAAGAACATTACACAATTTACAAATTCAAAACATGACTTTCAAATGAAAACCCAAAGAACTGAGCACATACACGTGCACCAGAGGTTATTGTTTTAGTATTGTCAAGAGCACTAACTCGACCTGCATTCAAGAATTTTGACACTCGCAAATTTACCAGCATGTGCACCATGTCTCTTTATCAGAAATGGGATCAAACATTGATGCTCTTCCTCTCTCCTGCTTGGAGAAGAGCCCAAAGGTGGAGCAGAAAGTGTAGAGCACAGCAAGTGAACATGGCACTTTTTGCAGCTCTAACCAACCTCGGTGGACCTTTCAAGGCCGATCTTCAAACGTGTCAGCAGACACGAAAATTGTTCCCTTTCACTGCACTGATCAACCGGAGCGGAAAGCTCTTTTGGTGTAAACTTCGAGGAAAAGATAGTCCACAATAGACACAAATGTGACTTTAAGGGGAACTCATTAGCGAGCCCTTGGATTTGGCCTGCTGGTCTGCGGCCCATATAAAATAGGGTATGCATTGCAGTTAACGTCAAATGTTTTTTGGTTGGGTGTTTGGTATTTCGTGAAGCTCGGATAAAAAGCATGTCCGCGAGGCTCGGCACTGATTGGTTTTGAGTGGGGAGAGGGGGAATGGGAAGAGGCCATCGCAGTAAAAACGCATTTGCGCCAGGTGGGAATTGAACCCAGACCCCCGTCTAGAGCCTAGATCATTCAAATCAAATTTGCGGTTTTACGTGCCAAACCAACGAAGGGCATCTGGCACGAAAAATCTAGATTATTCAAGGGGTACAGAAGCGAAAGTTTAGCGCCTATTTCTTTCCGTAGACGTGGTCTCTTTTATGACGGCAGCTCAGAAACCAGTTTTTCATTCGTAAACGCAAGAAAAACAATTTTAAAACGAACAATACAATTTCCCAATACCAGCTGGTAGTTGGGGGTTCGAGTTTCGTAGAAAAGACTGACGTCACGGACCCAAAAGTAGCAGCGCCACGGAGGGGCAGTGTCCCATGGAGGCGCCCGGGAACGAGCGGCGCTTGGCCACGCCTCTCAATTCTATTACACCATACCTCGGGTATTCTCACTTGCCGTAATTGTAACGCGTTGACGATAAAGATGGCGCTACATAGTGACGACGATCGTAATTACGGTACCCTTGGCCGTTTACGAGTCCGTGACGTTGCGAGCGTGACGTCACGAGCAAATATCCCATGAGACATCGCGCTGCCTCGATGGCCGATTTTGAAGCACTTGCCAAAATCCGACAGTTAGAAAGAAAAATATAGCCATCCGCTAAAAATACAAACGTGTCATTATCATTTAAGGATATCACGGATGATATTTCACCCGTTTCGAAGTGTTTCGGGGATATTTAAGTTTTGATTCTGTACCCCTTTATGCGAGTGTCTTTCCAGCATGTCACGACACATGGCCGTGAGTCGAGGTGCTATTTTGTGGGCAAGCTCTGCGGGGCATCGGCTCTGTGCCCAGCAGCTAGCAACTTGACAACCTGTCAGAGGTTTTTAAAACCCGGGTTAGCGCCGGTATCTCCATTCCAGGAATTGCTATCGGTTGCTTCATCGGTTACTATTGCAACCCATGCAGAGCGCCGAGAGCGTAGACGCCACACGTTTCACGTGCAACAGAATTGCCCGGCAATTTGCTATACAGTTTGAAAGAGGAGTTAAACAGGTTTTTCTTTGAATTTAAAATGTGAAAATTTGGATGTAGGCACATTAGAAATAATGTGAGCATTTTTTTCTCAGTGTGCTTAGTAGTAAGTGACTTTACTTAGGATTCCCTGCTGCCTGCCAAGCGCAGGAGAGGAAGGGAGCAAGGAGGAAAACCAATGAAAGCGACTTTATTGGCGCTCTCCTTTCAGCTGACTTGGGAATGATGACGTCACGACACCTTTGACGGATAAGAGAAGGCAGCTAGAGAGGTTCGCCGCATGCCTCGTAGCAATTGCTGCAATTTTTTTTTTTTTTTCATAAAAGAAATTTACGCTTAGTTTTGCCTAATTTCAGTATGTTAACTGAATTCAGGAGATAACAAACTGTAGAAGGCCACTCCCAAAGGACTGTTAAAACAGGACGCGTTTTCTGGAGTCACAGCATTTGCTGTAACGGAAGCGGATGTTTTCCTCCGTTTCCGGTTCGCTTTGGTACACTTTCTTTGCCCGGGGAGGGGGGGGGGGGGGGGGGGGGGGAAGCTTCCCTCGCTTCTGTCCTCGGACAGAGAGACCTGGAGCGTACTCAACACCTGGGTCCGGGCAGCCACTCACACGCTCTGCTAGCTGTCGTCAAGACCTCCGCTGTTCTCCGTTCCCAACCTCCCGAAAACAAAAAAGGGGAGGAGGCGACAGCGAGGAGGCCAGGAGGAAAGCTGTGCTGTTTGCGTGGTTGATATTCTCAACAAAAACAAACTTTTCTTTTGCCGCGCGCGATATTTGTTGTGTACTACTTGGACAGCTCATGACATGGTTCCCTTTAGGGTTCGATTGCAATCTTTTTACAGTGTTCATGTATCCTCACGATGCATCGTTGTTTGATCTCGTGAGAGAGGTCACTGTCGGAACTTTACGGTTTGATTTATCACTCGGTTAATTTTTTGTTGTTGCACTGATAGCAGTATAGGTCATATATCGATAGCTCTGTCGGTGTCGAATGAGTACTTTTGTATACAGGGTGCTTTCTTTCAGTTGTTCCAGCGAACGAGACATGTCTCCCTTGTATGCGGCTTCAATCCGAAACTGAGCGGGAAAAGAGCGCGAATGACGTCGACCCTCCACCAGCGCCACAAGCAAAGCCAGCTGCGGTAGCGTTTTTTTTTTTGCCCGCCTAGTTTTGGTTTGAAGCCGCATAAAGGGGTGACATTTCTTCAACGAGGTAGACGCGCCTAGAGAGATAAACTGGTATTCCGTTCACCAGGAAATAGTGACCCCCACTGGGTTGCCGCCATGTTGTACAATTTTGACCACTAGACAGTGACCTTACCAAATCCTGAGGCTTTAACGCAAAACTGAGCAAAGATTTGTATTGCGATTGCTGTAAAAAAAAAAAAAAAAAGAAATACATGATAAACTGTTTCTTTTTTAATATTGTTAGCTCCAGATATCAGTTTCTAGCTTCGATAAACCCCAAAATACAGCACTGCGGCTAACCGCACTTAGGGGAGGCATTGCGAAGCTGCCTGAGTTTTTGTAGTAAAAGGACATTTTGTGCTTAGAACAAACGAAACATGCATAACTTTTCTCGTCGGTACTGTTATTAAAGATCAATAATCAATTATTTGTGCGCGGTACTGCGTTAAAATCTAGACGTAAAACTATAAGGTCACGTGTTTAGTGGTCAAAAATGTGCAACACGGCGGCGGCCAATTGGGCGTCACTTTCAGCTGCCAGTTTATCGCTCTAAGGCGTTACATTACTTGCACCGTACCCACTACGAATGTTTTTTTTGTAAACGTTTCACCGCACAGTTAGACCATATTGAGGTTTAGGGTCAATTTTCCAAACACATGACGTCTCCCAAAAAAACTTTGTAAAAGTTCATTAAATTTTTAGATAATTAGCCATTTAATTATCACATTTCATTTCTTTTCTAGTGGCCGCCATGGCCCTTATCTTGGCCCCAAAGTTAAAAAAAACTCGACGCAAGTTTCTTTTCTTTTTTTTAAATTCCTGACCGACTGAAAGAAAACACCCATTGTATGTAATGAAATCTGTTTACAACCTTTTATTTTTTTTCTTCTTCTCAAATTATTGTTTTCCGGTTTTTATGTACAGAGCACAACGATGCCGGCATGAACAGAAGATCCCCGGGTTTTCTTGTACTTTTCTTCGATTAGAAAGGCCCAATGTTCCGCATCGAGTACGAGCTTTCTGCCTTTAATAACACTTCGTCGCACGCCCTGCCCGAGTCCGGCGGACAGCAACGAGCGCGTGCTGGAGGCCGAGCTAGGTTGTTAGCCTGTCACCGACTATACAGGGTGTTGCACGAAACGCGGGCCAAATCACTACTGGGGGAAATATGCATCGCAAAAAAAAAAAGGTAGTCATATTAGTTTTTGTCAAAATCCTATTTAGGAAAATTATTACTATTCGGTATCGTTACTTTCTTAATTACGTTGAGTTAATTAGGTTTTGAATTAGTCAATTTAAAGGCATGGTTTCAATGAGGGCGCAAGTTCGTCTGGTTCTTGCACAGGGATTGCGATGATGTCAGAACGTCGAGCTCTTATTGGTTGATTGAAAAAATAGTGGGTAGACCTCAAGACATCCATCATTTAGGTCTACCCACTATCCTTTCAATCAAAGCCAATCAAAGTTCGGCGTCGTTTTGACGTCACCGCAACTCCTACGCAAGAAGCAAACGACTTTTTCTCCACATTAAAAACTTTTCGGTCGTCATAAAAAAATAATCAAATCAGCGCACTTAAAAAAAGAAATTAGGCAATCGCAACATTTTTAACGTAAAAAATAATAAACACTCACTTTGGATGCGTTTCTAGGTTTTCTAGGTTGGTTTTCTGTCAGAACAATGTGCTGCTCGAATGACATTGCAAGAGTAAGCTTTGTACTTGGGTTCTTCTTTATGATGCGAAGTAATCGTGGCGGCACATTATAGTTCCGCCCATTAGCGACGAAGAACCAGGATCACTAGTGCGGAGATGCGTTTTGATAGGAAACCCAAACCTATAGAAACGCGCCCAACTTGTTTTTTCCAAACGCCGTAAACTGCTTCGGCTGATTTATATGTTTGTAAAGTGAACTGGATTTAGTGGTCTTCGAGTACACAGCAAGTTAGTGACTGAAACAACGCCTTGAAATTTACAAATTAGAAAGCTAATTACTCAAAAGAAATTAAGACACTAATTATACCGAACATTCTTAATTTTACTGAATAGGCCCTTTTGTAAAAACCAAAAGGGCATGAACCTTTTTTTTTTTTTTTTGTATGATGCGTACTGTTTGCAGGAGTGATTTGGTCCGCGTTTCGTGATACATTGTGGTGGAAAGTGCTTATTTGAGACACCAACAAATTTGGTGTTTGCTCTGTCCTGCTCGAGTAGAATGTGAAAAAGTGCTGACGTCACGTTCGTGCTAACTGCATTGTGCAGTCTACCAGTGGTATGGACGAAGAGGGCGCATCAGGCCTTTTTTCCCTGCTACCGGCCTGTCTGCATCCAAAGTCAATGAAAGAATGGAATCCTTTGGAAAATATAAACACGAGTGCAATTGGTGCGCCTGACCGTTCAGCTTCGGGACTGTACACTTCGACGTATGCAGTGGAGCAGGTTCTCCGGCCAATTTGCACAATTCCACCGGCCACCCACAGTTGTCCCCTGTGTCCACACGACCCCATTGCCATCCTTGGGGAATACAGTTCGCTGCTCAGTTTGGTCCATTCATCCATTGTCTTGTCATACCGCTCCACACACCCAAGGAGTCTGAAATTATCAATAACCTCGTAGTTAAACACACTCAAGAACCAAAGTTCAACAAAACTTATGTGAAATGATGACACTACCCATTTGTAGATCCTTTCTACATTATAATCTATAGTAGTTTTTTTCAGAAAATTCGGATGGTTGCTACCAAAACGTTGAAGTTCTCACTTGTGCTTTTCCTTGAGTTCGGAATTTTTAGGAGTTTCCCTTTGAAAGCCCACATTGATTTTGGTGCTGTGGTATTTTACATTGTAAAACTTTAGAAGAAGAAAAAACAGGTTGCCCGAAAAAGAAAACAAGGAGGAAATGCAAACATCTCGCAGATTTGCAGCAGAAAATGCAATCATCTCGCAAACTCGCAGCTCTTTCCAGGTGATATAGACTATTCCAAAACTTACTCGAATGGATCCGAGTTACTCCGGCGGATCATGCCACTTGACAAGACAGCTAGGGCAACGCTGGACGCCGGTAAGTTTTCGAGCACCAAGGTATACAGAATGTTTACCCTATAGAGTAAGATCGAGTAAATTTTGGAACATGGTCATGAGCGATTCCCAGACTCTTACATCTCTGGCGCCCTTTTCATCGGCTTTGAGTGGCCTGTCTGCAAATATCATAAGCACGGCGCATGCGCAAAAGCTTGGCGTGAATCTGGCTTTGCGCACGCACAGTGCCCACACCTGGTGTGGGCTAGAGCCGCTGAATGTTTCCAGAGTACCGCATTCGATAGCATCCGCTGTGACTGTTATATTTTAGCTTTGATCGGACTTTTTGGCACCGAAATATATACGGTGGAGCGGGTTTCAGGGACGCCAACCTCTGTCTCCCAAGCGAACGCGCCGCGAATTACTACCGAAGTCAGGACGCGCCTAGGTCGGTACGCGCTACCTGAAATCACCGGTGAGACATGGTTGTATAATTAAGAGCAATATTAATTGTTTCAAAAAACCTTGTAAACTAAAATTTTATCATCACCACTTCTGTAATTCAGTACTAATCTCCAATAAAAGTTTCCACAGAAAGAACTCTTCCGTTTTTTTTCACGCCAAAAACCATGCTTTCTAAACGCTCATAATGACCACAGTAAAAAAAAAATTGGAGCCGCCATTTGGGAACTCTCAAACGTGTGAGTTTCGATACTCTGGAAACATTCAGTGACTCTATCCCACACTAGACTCTAGTGTGGGCAAACGCTCACTTGTTTGTAAACAGCCTGTTGGTCCATAAACAGCTGTTCATTTTCTCTGGAGGACCAGTTACTACTCGCAATAAGAGGGCAACTTCCTTACCTCAGCTGGCCGCTGACTGGCACAGATAGCCCGCTCATTTTTCTGCTACGTACATGCTACGAAAAAACACTGAAAATACTCGGCGAATACCCTATTTGAATTCTAAATATTGGTAGCAATTTACGGACAATTTCAAATTGTAAAAATATTTACCAGTTACGTTTATCGAATGTTATTGAATGTATGTTATTTTTGTGGAAACGCAGAACCATACATAGCGGTATGTATTGCGTGTCCCAGGGTCGACCTAACAATGGCCGTAAAAATCTGTACCTGATACGTATCAATCTAAACTTTTCGTTAAAAGTGTATTTCACGGGTCGGCTTTATCTTCTAAAATTATAATGCGTAGCTCCCTGTCTGTAAAAAATAGGACCAAAAAAACTTTACAGGGTCAATGGCGGACGGTGGCGCAGACGACCGAGTCGAGTGGCGGGCCGCCGTCTGCAAAATTACAAAGCTACGCTTTCTAATTTTGCATGATAAAACCGACCTGTGAAACACACCCTTCACGAAAAGTTTGAATTGCTACGTGCAGGGGCCGATTTTTACGGCCCATTTTAGATGGAGCCTGGGTATTTCAAACACGCTATAATCCAAATCTATAACAAAGAAAAATCTTAAAACACAATAATAGAATGTCGTCATAAAGATTGTACGAATAAAAGAATGTTGCTGCGACCTTCATCACCCAATGGTCCTAGTAATAGGAACCCTCTCCTATTCCTCACAACCAAAAGTACTAGTCGTTAAGGTGAGGTAAAAATAAAAAAAAACTTTTTATTTTAAAATTGTGATATCGCGCTTTGGTATGTTTCATTACCTTTCAATCTTCATCTTCTGTACATTAAACAATCAGGACTGGATGATTAGTCATGCACACATTTAAAGTACTACCGGTAACCCAAAAATCTTAAATTAATGGCATTTTAGTCTGCACACCAAAAATTGTGACGTCGCCTACCATCGCATATATTTTTAGTAGGTCTAACCATCTTCCTTCCGACACATTCTTTGGTAGCTTAATGTTTAACAAAAAAAAATAATTTTCCTGTTACGAAGCAACCGTCGCTAAACATGTGCGGAAATATTCGAATGTGTGTTTCTCTTTTTGTAATTTAGGGCAGCTTCAAAAAAATCTACGCATTGCCGAACGCCGAACCAGGTGCCAAAGTTTCAGCACTCTCCGTTATCTTAATTAGAAGTTATAAGTGATTTTCTGAAATTTTCAGTGGGAAATTGGGGCCCATTTTCGCCCGTCGTCGGTAATTGGTGCCGTAGACCTCCATGTATTCGAGAGCTCTATTGGCTGCCATTTTCCCATTGAAAAGTTCAGAAAATCACATGTAATGTTTGCATGAGATAATGATGGTTGCTGAAACCTCGGCATCTGGTTTGTGGCTCTAGCGCCACATATGGGCGGATAATGAGCGTTCGGCGATGCGTAGCTTATATTTGCAGTAAAAAAAAAAAGGGTAAAAACCTTTTCATATTTTGGGGCTTAACCCTGTACTTAATATTGTCCTATCATGACAAAACTTGGCGTGCATATGCTTTAGCATCTGTAGAATGCAACCATCAAGATTTTGTTGTATATCTGTGAAAAAAATTAGACATGTTTGTCAGCCCTTTGGAAATAACTTGTTTTAATTACTGTCAAATAAAAGAGGCGTTACAAACATTATTTTTGCTGTCTATTGCACTCGGTGATTCACAAGGAGTAAATTAGATACTTTTACGCTACTCCTTAAGATTTCTTGCCGTACCCCGCAACTACACGAGAACGTGCTTTTTCTTTTTTGGCGCGTGCATTGGTTCTAGAACATTAAAAAAAAAAACGAGCTATATGGAAACTAGCACCAGAATAAACTGCGAATTTTTGATTGATTGTAAATATTAAAAACAAAATTCATGTGGAACATGTTAATTATATTGGTACAGTTCATTCTTTACCAGCCGTTGGCTTTCAGGTGCACGATATTTTTATGCTGTTCTTTTGTACTTGTGTACCGTTAAATTTCATTAATACGCTTAAAGAATTTCATAATTTCACAGTACTACATTTATATACATATATTAGCACACCTGTTGTTGCTGTCCACACCCCCAACAGCATAAACGGAATTTCCAAGTACTGCGAGACCATGATATGCTCTGGTAGAGTTGAGAGGTGCCATGATCCCCCACTGTCCACGACTCACTTCATACCAAAAACAGCAACGGCTGGAAGTCTTTTCAAGATTTACGGGGCTGAAGTTTTCAAATCCACCTGTGAACAATAGCAAACATTATACTCCACTACAATTTTTATAAAGTATAGGGAATATCTTTTATAAATACCCTGTGTTGGAATTTGTGCACAGTTCACTGCTCCCGTGCTACATGAGGCAACTTATCACTTCTCTAACCGAAAATGATGCATGGGAAACATTGCTAACAGCTCAGAGTTCAGCAAACATCGTATTGAATGATTTCGTAATCGGAAAGCTTCACATTACAGGTTATCATTGCGCAGAAGCCTGGTTTACAGTAAATTAATTAGAAAAACTGTGGAGTTATAGCAGTTTCAATGTTGGGATTTTCAGCCAGATATTCGGTTTTGTGGTTCCCTTAAAGGTCCAAGGACACGCCAAAAATAAAACATGAGATAACTATTCCGCTAGGACCCATCGTGTGCTCCTGTAATCCCGTTAAATTTGTTTTGAAAATGGCGTGATAATCTCGTGGATAAATCATTTTATATGCGGGAACCTCAAATCCGCCCCATTCGAAAATGCTGCGGCGGATCTTACGGGCCATCGGAGCCAATCGGAAGCCGTGTGAGTGTCACGTGACCTCACTTCACACAACGGCTTCGGGTGACGTCAACCCCTTTCGAAGCAGCCACAAACCTAATCCTTACCGGAACGCATGGGAATGTGTTCCTATTGTTCACACGCGCCTTATCATCCATCATCTGATTTTGATGCTTGTTTTGTTGATGCTTGTTTTGTGGTTTTCTTTATTGAAACAGACACTGAGCTGTATGCTGTATGCCTGATTTCAAAGGAGATACGCTGTTTTGCCTTCAATTGTTCGCCGGGAGTTTTTTGCTTGGAACGACGACACGAAAATGTTTTTGGCTGATAGAGGTATACAGCTTTGCTGTAAAACATTCCCAGGTGGACTAAATTAATACTGACGCCTTTGCTGGGGTGTGTCAGGTGTTCTTCGTTGGTGTAGTATGTAGACCTTCCTAAACGTACCCTTTAATTTAATTTATTTGACCCTGTCTAAGCCATATTTCTTTTTGTATTTGGAACGATTGAAAACAATACCTTGACATTACCCTCAAAATTCGAAACTTGGGAATTTAGTATTTGGGAAGAAAAAAAAAAAATCCAAATGCTGAATTTGAAGTTCCTTCGCGATCCGATCCGCGCCGGTGCAGTGACGTCAAATATTGAGCCGTCCTGTGAGTTGAGTTTCTCTGACGCCACCCTAAGTGTCGTGTTCGCCGGCGTCCCACGAACAGCCGGCTGCGAGCAAACGACGCTTGACTTTCGAATTTGAAGTTCTTTTAGGGCCCTTTCAGCGATCTCAATTTTTTTGAAACGGTGTGAGGTCGAAGAGAACGCACAGTGGACTTTAGTGAGCGACGTGAGGGGCCACGTCGCGCCGGCTCTGCGTGAAAGGCTGCCCCGGCGGAGTCACAATCGAAACTATATACGATACACACATTATACCCAGTGGTTTGGACCGTTTGACGATTTCCTTTTCGAAGTCTGAGAGGTCGTCCGGCACTTAATAAAGACCACTTCGTCCGATTCCCCGACTCACCGATCATCCTCTGCTACATGCGTCGAGCGCTGCCACGTTTTTCGAGAGAGGATAAAAAGCCAGGAGGCGACATCACACCGGACTTCGATTTTCGGTATCTCAGAAAGAATCGCTGTAGTGCGTTCGCAAATGCGTTAAAAAACATGCTTTACGAATGCCCTTATTAAATGCTATAGACACGTAGCCTACAAAGCGTCTAAATTTCGTGATTTCTGACGTCACAAATCAAAAGAAGCGAGCAGGTGAGGAGCCGGAGAGAAAAACGCCAAATATAAAAAGACGCGCGCGCGCGTGTGGGGAATTTTTTTTTTTTCGTTTAGATTTTTTTTTTGCGTGTCTATGACTACAATTCGCATCGTTTTAGACAACAAAAAATACGACCTTTGGGGTGTCAGTGTTCCTTTAAATGCCCACAGGGGGCTTTGCATAAAGGCAGGAGGGGGCGGCAGCAATGTTTAACAAAAAAATTAGACAATTCAAAAGGAACACAAGGTTAGTTTTAACACACACAAACGTGATGTCGAATGTCGTGGAAAGTGGCAATGGAATATCAGAAAATATGAACTCCCGGGATGCGAGGAACGCGATTAATGGCTTCAAGATGAAAATATACTTGCCAACAATATAAATGTGGCCATCCAAATAGACTGCTTTGTGGCCATAGCGATGAACTGGGAGCGTTTTTCTTGGGTTCCAGCTGTTAGTCTTTACGTCGTAGCTGAGGATGGGACAGTTTGATGGCGCACGATCGGTAAGATCTCGCTCTGCCCCTCCGATAAGAAAGAGAGTTCCTTGATGATCAGTGTTCTGGAACCAAACGGTGTACAATGGTAGCATCGAATATGGCGCTTCCTCTAGATCCGGGGTTTTCATCTTTATCGAGGAATACCTACCTCTGTTGACTGATATCCGAGGATCTCCTTCCAGACTTGGCATTGATGCCAGGGCAGACGTTTCGAGGCTTTGTAAACAATAATGCACGCACTGGGGAGTATTTGTCACAGTTATGCATCAGTGGGTGGCTCAGATCTGCTAAATACTGCTTAAACTGAAAAAAAAAAAATCTTTACTTAAGGGCAGGAATTGTCAATAAAATCTGGGAGAGAGAGAGAGAGAAAGGGAATAAACTTTTATTAAAGCACCATGGTTCGGTGCCCAGTTACCACTGGTTCCCCAGTACACCACGGACATGCTGTACCAGCAGGGGCAGTAGTGTGGCGACCAAGTCATGTTGGGGGGCGAGCCAACCTGTCCAGTCAGGGGGTTGGGAACGGGGTGAGAGAGTGGAGAGGAAAGATTTAAGTGCGGATCGGGCGGGGGGACAACGCCAGAGCATGTGCTCGTTAGAGGGGTATTCTTGGCAGTGGGGGCATGAAGGAGATCCAGGGAGAGCCTACATCTGATGTGTAAAGAGGGGTGTGAGAAGGAAGGAGTTTGAGTTCTACGAAGGCTGGGGGCATCCTGTCTGCAGAGGGAGCTAAAGTACGCTACTCCAAATGTGAAATTATTGGCTTACAATTCACTCGTTAGACCTCAACTTGAATTTGGTAAAATAACATGGAACCCTCATAAAAAATATAACCCCGAAATATTGGATCGAGTTCAAAGACGAGCTGTGAGGTTTGTTTATAGAAAATTTCAAAAAACTGATTCGCCTTCACTGTTGATGAAAACTAAAAAAATACGAACTATAGAGCTCATTAGACGAATAGCCCCTTTTTAAATTTTTGCACTCTCTTTATATAAGAAAAAAATCTGTCATTGGATTGACATCATTAATTAAAGCCGCTTTTCACAAGACGAACTAGGCGCCATCATCATTATTCCTTAGCACCATACTTCGCACGCACTAACCTGTTTAAATATTAGTTTTTCCCTGGCGCAATTGAGTATTGAAATTCTCTTTCATATTGTTATTTCATCTTGGGATTTTTCTTTATCATAAGATCATTTATTCTAGATTTATGTGAGATGTCGCTTTAGATCTAGTTTTGTATTTCGAAGTGTTTCGGTGGTGATAAATTTTGTGTTTACATACTTCGATATTGTGCTTTTCGACTGGGGAATTGGTTCTAATGCTTGTATTGTTATATTATATCACCTGTCTTGGGTTATCTATTGATTTGCTTCTCTTGTTTCTAGGTTTTTTTATTTATTTTGTTGTTGTAGAGGTATTTTATGCTTGTACTCTGCTCATCCTGCCCCGACACTTGTGGTCTGCAGTATATAAAAAAATTGTGGCGATAAGTGCCTGCGATCGCGTCTAAGGGTAGTTCGTGCCTTGTGTAGGATTTAGCGATGGGGATCATATTCGTCTGGCCAAACTTCCGAGGGGCCCCGGGAGGGCTCGTCGCTGCTTAGAGCGGCTGCGTGTACGTTACCCTTGATAGCTTCGTGGGCAGGGATCCACTGGACAGTTACGCGAAGGGAGGGCTGTTGGGTTAGAATATGGAGGGTCTTGTTGTGAACGTGCGGGGGAGTATATTCTGGATAAAGGCACGGCTTACCGACTGACTCTCCGTCCTGATATGTCGTCGGTTGGATGGTGGGGAAGGGTGATGGCCTCAGATATGGCCAGGAGTTCTTCTGAAGTGAGGTCTGGAACATGGATGTGTGTCGAGGTGTGTGCGTGTAATGGGGACTGTAGGCGGCGATACGAAAGCGCGTCCGGAAACGAGACGCGTCCGTGTAGTACGCTGTTGTGTAAGCCGGGATCTCTGCACCGTTGATATGGTGTACTCACTTTGCGCGATGTGCTTCGTTGTGCTCAACCGACATGTGTTTGGGGATAGGGATCACGCGTACGCGTCGGAGGGATATCCATGGCACGGCATGGAGGGAAAAGGGGGTTAAGTGCGCGGTGGGATAACCGAGGAGTTGTAAGAGTTGCCTGCCCAGTTTAGACGCTTTGAGGTGTTCTTGCTGAGCTTGGTGATGATGAACCGTGATACGATCTTCGAGAGAATTGAAAAAGTCTCCAGCTTCAATAAGGTGGTTTTGTGTGCATCGGGGGATGCCAAGGGCAAGACGGTGGCATTTACGGAGGGCAGTGTCTAATTGCTTCATCTATGTGGATGACAGTTTTTGGTAAGGCAGTTGGTACATGACGCCCGAGTATATAAAGGCCTCAATGGTCTTGCGGATCTCGTGCTCTTTGAGACCGACCTGGAGGCGTGTAGCTCTGTAGGAAAGTCTGAGAGCTCAGAGAACCCATAAGGATACTCTGAGAAACCCCTGAATTCCTGAGAACAGTTTGAGAATCCATGCTCTATGAGTCTATATCATAGATTCTCAAGCTGAGTAACACAGGAACCCAAGGCCCAAATATTTTCCAGAGAATCCCGATGGGATTCCCAAACTCAAAAATTTATTTAACTTCCCCTACATCTGATCAAACTTTTGCCTGTTTAAGCATGCAGAGCATATTTTATAAGGTCTGAGCTACAAATTGATACATAACTATGGGTTGAACACTCCTTAGTATGTGCATTACTGTTTACTTGGTCCGTAGGCTCCTGCAATGATGCTTTACTGCATCAGTGCCAAGACCAGAAAGGGTTTTTTGGCTGCTATTTACGGCAGACAGGGGTTCTTCCAGATGGCAAAGTTGGAAAAACCCTTTGCTCTAGACAGTGTGATGAAACCATAAATGCTACAAGGGCACTTTTTCAAATTAGGACATGAGACTTACCTCACTCAGTACTTCGTTTGAACTGCATTCCGTCTGCACAGATACAGATGCCGAACCTACTACAGGCTTCTCATGCGTCTCTTGCACATCGTTTGAAGGATTCATTTTCATTCCTTTAATAAACAAGGGGAGCTTTTGTGAGACAGTCTCGCAAAAGTCAGCTTCATTTGCTTGGCACATTCTTCTTGGCCAGTCACCTCCCTCATTGTTGCGGTTGTTATCACTGCTGGTGGAGTTAAGTGAAGAGAGACTGGGATCTTCGATTTTGCTGGAACATGTGCCTTTGTTTTCGCTTGTAGAATGGGAGTAGCAACGAGAAAACAGCGTGCTGCTTCTCTCTCTCGTTTCACTTTTTTCATGAGTGTGCGTGTGTTTCGTAACTTTGGAAGTGCTGCTGTTTAATGAAAAAGACTCATCTGCATTTGAGTTTCTTTTTTCAGACCACAGAGTGTGAAGGTGGCTTGCAGACTCGCTTGCAGAGCAATCGTCATGCACACAGCCCACTCGATCAGACTCCGATTCTTGTTCACACAAGTTCTTAATGCATTTCTCATCTATAGAAATGTCCTTAGGACATTGCAGCTCCAAGTTTGAGGGTGGCTCTGGAGGGTTTTGAAACCCAGTGAGAGTGAGTGAGGCAGAGAGGAACAACGGAGGAGCTTCACACTTCGTGGTTTTCACTGCTTCGTTGACCTGTGTGTACGACAAAAACATAAAACCTTATTCTAGAATAGGGGACGAGGTTAATATCTAAAAATTACCTTTAGAGATGATTTCTTAGATAGCACCTTGTACTGACGAGATTTACGTGCAAGATGGCTGACTTCTGCTTCCTTTCCAGCAGCCTTGGCAACCCAAAAGCTAGAAATGACGCAACACATTACACAACTGCAAATGGCCAAATTTAATTAGCGGGTCATTGCATGCCGCAGCGTTAAGAGCCATATAACTGACTTGCGCATGACAGTGGTGGCACTGCTACCTAACGTAGTAGTGCTGCTCAGAGTCCTGGCTCGACCCTGGTGTCAGTGACGGTGAGCTCTTTGAACTCTCGGCACACTCTGTCTTTTGCGTTTGGTGCATGCGTGACGCCGCCATAACTTTAGTTCACACAGGAGACAGGTGGCGATGCACGACACGGCTTGTGCCGTCTCGTGATATGCACGCGCAAAGCCCCAGCGAGGTCGTTGCACGTGCAAAAAGACTAAAGTTCCCTGCATGCATTGCGGGAGCGGTGGAGTAGCCAAATTGGCTGGTGAGACCGATCTCACCAGTCAGTTTGACCACGCCACCGCTGCCGCAATGCATCGAGGGAACTTTAGTCTTTCTGCACGCGCGACAACCTCGCTGGAGCTCAGTGCTTGTGTAGCACGAGACAGCACGAGCCCTCTCGTGCACAGCTGTTTGCCTCCTGTGAACTATGGCGGCGTCACGCATGCGCCGATCGCTTCGTGAGATCGGTCTGTTGAGCCTGCAGATAACGACCTCTTGAATGCTGCCTTCTTTATAGGGAACATTCACTGGCTTCCACAAGCTTCCACTGTTCTTTTGCAGCCTGCATTCCACGCCATAAATATTGCAGGTGTTGGCAGCCTATTAATGTGAGCTCGTTCTGAGCGTGCGCTCTAAACAGCGCCGCACTTTAACACGCGAAGAGCCGTATGCGGCTCGGGAGCCGCAGCTTGGCCACCCCTGCACTATACCCTCGTGCTGCGCTATGGTAGATAGCAATGACACTATTGGGCTCAATTTGACCCAGCATTCGGCGGAACCACCCTTCAAATTTGTTTGAGGTGCTTTCCTCGTGGAAGTTTCCCTTTGATCCTCGAAACATGTCTAGGCATTCGGGAGCAAAGCCTGTCTCGCTGCCTGCATGAGTATAACTGTTGTGGCTTACGACCACGGTGCTTACGACAAGAGACAGGACGAGGTGCAGCCGATGTAGCTTCCAGAGCCAAACGGTTTTAATGTCCCGTGCCCTCGTTTTTGTCTCGTACATCCCAGGCGCGCGCTCACTTCTTTGCCCGCCGCCTCGCGCTATTTGTTGAAACAATACTCAAACACAACACACCTTCCCCATCAATGTTTTGGCTGACTCACACAAGAATACCTCTCCGGTGGCCTACGTTGTCGTATGCTACTTCGAAGCACTGGTGTGGTCGGTACCGCTGTCTCGGAAACAGGCTCCATATCGAGGGCAGCAGGCATTGTCATGTTGCCTCGAGAGCCACCGGACGCCTTTCGTGGTGTTGCAGCCGGAGTGTCGACATTTCTTCTCTGTGCAGACGAATCTTCGAAGTATCTCGGACGGACATCATCCACGTCCACATACCGATGCTGATCTTGCACTATCACGACGTAGGTTGATGCACTTACTTTCTTCACAACACGTCCCACCAACCATGCAGGATCTGTCGGACGTGATCCCCGGACGAGGACTTGGTCGCCTGCTTCAAAAGTTCGCCAAGAGCCTCTTCTCATGTCGGCGGCTGTCTTGATTTGTTGCTGGCGATCTCTCATGCGTCTCTCCATTTCAGGATGAAGGAAGCTCAGACGGGTCCTAGGCTTCCAAGAGAGAAACAGCTCGGCTGGAGTTCTGTCGGTCGTACCAGTTGGGGTATTTCTGTATGCAAACAGGAGCTGGTCGACTCGATGTTGCATCGATTTCAGTACACCCGTCCGTTGCTCGTCGATTACCTGCCTCAGAAGGTCCCGCTTGACGGTTTGCACACACCGTTCCGCGCTTCCATTTGAGGCGGGATGGTACGGAGGACTTTTCGTGTGGCGTACCCCATTCATCGACATAAACTCTACGAACTCTGTCGCCACAAACTGGGGTCCATTGTCTGTCACTACCTCTTCTGGTAGTCCAAACGCGGCAAAAACACTTCGCAATCTTTCGATAGTACATTTTGTCGTAGTGGAACTCATTAGAAACACCTCTACCCACTTTGAATGAGCATCTACGAGAATCAAAAACCAGTTATGATCCCGGTATGCAAAATCAAGATACACCCTTTGCCATCTGCGCGTTGGCCAACCCCACGTTAATAATGGAACACGTGGTGGCGCGCTCTGCGTTATAGTTGACAAGTACTACAGTTTTTGACAGTGTTTTCGACATCATATGTTATCAAAGGCCACCACACATGACTACGTGATAACATTTTCATTCTGGTGGTGCCTGGATGTCCCTCGTGCAGCAGGGACAACACTTTTTCCCTAAAGACTTCGGGAATGATCGCTCGATTTCCCCATGTTACACACCCTTGGTCAACCGACAATTCGTGACGGCGCACAAAGTACGGTTGCAATGCCTCATTGTCCACATGTGAAGGCCATCCGTTCTGTGTGAAAAACAACTCTTTTCATCACACTATCCTTTTCAGTTTCTCTCCTAATTTCACCAGCTGACAATGGCACTTCATCCACCGCCGAAAAGAAACTGACGTAGTCCGAGCTATCGTTCATGTTGGGCAAAGGCAGACGTGACAGCGCATCAGCATTCTGAATCTAGCTACCCTTCCGATAAACCCCCTTGTAACTGTAGGCAGCAAGTAGGAGAGCCCACCTCTGCATCCTGGCTGCTGAAATCGCCGGAATTTGTATTCCATGACCTAACAGCCCTGCCAACGGCTGGTGATCCGAATAGATGCTGACATTTCTGCCATACAGATACTTATGAAACTTTTTCAGCCCAAAAACAACTGCTAGGGCCTCTTTTTCAATTTGGGCGTAGCCCTTTTCAGCCTTGCTCAGAGTTCGTGATGCATAAGCAATCGGTTTCTCATAATTCCCAACTCTGTGAAAAAGAACCGCTCTTACTCCGTACGCTGAAGCGTCACATACAAGCCCCAATTCCTTTTTTGGGTCATAGAACGTTAAGACGTTTTCATGCGTAAGCCACGCCTTACTTCTGTTGAATGCGTTGTCTTCTGCCCTTGATGAACGCCATTTTGTGCCCTTCTGTAATAAGTCATACAACGGCTTCAGCTCGGTTGACATGTTCAGCACAAACTTGCCATAAAAGTTAATCATGCCCAAGTAGGCGCGCAGTTCTGATTCATTTTTGGGGCATGGGGCCTCCCGTATGGCCTTTACTTTCTCTTCCGATGGTCGAACTCCATGTTGATCTATCACATGTCCCATGTAATGAACAGACGTCTGAAAAAATCGGCATTTTTCTTTCTTTAGTTTGATGCCTTGTTGGCTGAACCGTGCCAGCACGCTTTCCACCTTTTTATAGTAGTCCTCATAAGTTTCGCTGGCTATTAGTACATCGTCCAGATAGCACGCTACATTTCTCAGCCTTTCCAGTACTTTGTCCATGACGGACTGAAAAATTGCAGGAGCACTAGTGATGCCGTAAGGCAATCTCGTGGACTTAAACAAGTCAAGGTGTGTGTTCACGGGTGTAGCCCGAAACAACCCATTCCCGTTTGAACCCGTCCCGTTTCGACCCATTCCCGAAACAACCTTCCCGTTTGAACCTGTCCCGTTTCAACCCGCTCCCGAAACGCTTTTCATATTGAACCCGTAGCCAAGACATAGTCTACGTTTGAATTCGTCCCGTTTGAACCCCTTAATTGGCAGAAAACCCCGCGCATCTCAACCTCTTCGCAAAAAGTGTCCATCGTTCTAATCCTGGTTTGCGCAGTTTTTCTGCTTAAGAATATGTCCCAAAATCATGTTAATGCAATTAATAAAAAGGTGCAGGCGAGCAATTCAGTTCTGTTGTGAAATATTTTTGCTTGTAAACGTATTATTAAAATATGCAATACTTTCAGACAAGCTTCAAGGAAATATATTTCTACTTGAACCACTTAAAATGTTTCTTTCAAGATGGTCCCCAAAATGTGTAATTACGAAATGGACTATATACACTGCGCGACAACGTTACCACGAACACGATCTTGGCGATTTTTCGAATTTTACTTCGAAATGGTTTTAGAAGGTATCACATTTTACCGCTTAGGTTAGTGGCCCAGATGAGCACTTTGAAATACACTAGTAATATTGATGGCAGTCTTCTGATTTTTTTTGTAGACAAACAGCTAAAACTAACAATCACTTGTTTGCGCTGACGGTTTCGCGCTCTGTACAATAACATGGAGCTTTCGTAGACCGTTTTCGAAGTCACGCGACGCACCTTCGCAACCCGCTACGATACCCAGAACTCTACAGTCAAGGCCATCGGCGCGCAGGCGCAGTAGCGGCTTCTTCGTTGCGGAGAGCTTAGCGAAAGGGGAAACGCGGTCTACGAAAGCACCTAATGAAGTCTTAGAGTAACGCAGGCAAGCACTTTGAGTAAGCAAAAATTAGCGTTGCCTAAGTTTTTATATTGCGACGCTACTTTTAGGTTACCCAAAGCGCTTACGTGCGTTATTCTAAAACTTCCTTATAGTGAATGGGATACTTTTTAAAAGTGATAAATCATACAGGCTCACGGGCATATAATTGCGACTTCATTTTTTTACAAGTTCAAACACAGAACCGTCGCGCACACAGCTAAAAATCATAAACCACAAAATGCTGTCGCCTTGGTTGAGGAAGTTGAGCAGGAAAATCGCGCCATCAGAAAGGCGGCACTCTAATTGTGATAGTCCGCGGCGGTCACCTGGCCCGCACGGCACCATCATTTGCAAGCTGCTGCAGCGATATCTTTCTCAAGGATCGTCCCGTTTGCAGGTCGATGAAGTTGTAAATGTTCGGGTGAGCCCTCCCTGACACAGCGCTTTTCTTACGGTGCCATGTCTCCGAGGTTGTTTCGGGAGAGGGAGAAGTGATGTGAGCAAGGAGAACAGACACTGGACACTTGAACCTAATCAACTGTTAACGAACAATACAAAACTAACCAAACG